CTAGTAACAAGTGCCTTACTAGTAGTAACAAGAAGCTAGTAGGAACAACACGACACACGACGCGCCTGGGACATGTTCCCCTCGAGTGGCCAGGATTGGATGCCTCACGACCAGTTCGGACCATGGATCGAGCAGTTTTCGAGCAATCTCCGTCTTCGGTGAAAAACGATGACAGCAAGATCTCATTTTGGGATTGAAGGTGTGATAGTGTGACACCACAAGAACACATCTCCTTAAGCTGGATTGGTGGGATTAGTATGGACTAGTGGTACCCAAGAGTAGGAAACAAAGCCATCAGCTGAGTCGGAAACAACGTCTCGTCTTCTGACGCGCTTCGTCCGCCTTCGTTCTGCAGCATCTTGGCCAAGGACTTCGCCTGAGCCGCAAGGCGCCACACGAGCGAGTCAGCTGGCGTCACACCAGGTCTGGAAGGTTTCGTCGTTGCTCCGTGTGACCTGCAATTCCTCTTTCTTTGGGGGGCCGCTCCTAAACAGGACCTAGGTGCCGGAGCCTCTGGGGATTTCATGGGCTCTTGTAGTGATGCTCTGTGCGGTTCACCAATGGTTGGTCGTTCCACCCACCTAGCGACTACCCGAGTATAGTACACAGTCGCCGACTGTAGTTGTAGCCCCCATATCGAGCACCTCACACTGAATGCTGCCCCAAAAAACACATGAGGTGGCCAATGGTTGTGGGGGCTCCTACCAAACTGGTGGGACAATAACGCAAACAAAGAAAGACAGCTTTCCATGGACACTGTCCTGTTCTATCTTACAGGGGAACATCTATCACAAATGGGTCTAAATGGGCGTGAATGAATCCCCTCCCATTCTTGTCGATTCTGAATGGGGTGTCTATTGCTCAGGACAGTGTTCCTCTTCCACTTGCCTTTACTGATCTCCGTCTTCAATGAGTAGATGTAGGTTACTGTATGGTTACTGTAGGTTGTGTCTACTTCAAATTGTAGCAATAGTAACAAGAAGCTACTAGTAACAAGTGCATCGCTTCTAGTAACAAGTGCCTTACTAGTAGTAACAAGAAGCTACTAGTCGTTGTTGACCCCTTTTCCACCTATCGACCACTCACCACGGCACCCCTCCAAAGTCCCGATGGATCTCTCACAAGTCAGATGCCCCCGACTGACCCAATTATCCACCGGCCTCTCGTTTGAATAGGACAAAGACCAAGACCTCGCGAAGAAAGAAGGACTTGAGAACCACACCCAGAACAACCACATGTGTCGAAGACAACATGCCATGAGCGCCAAGTATACACGAAAACACGGTGTTGTGTGGAGCCCCTCTTGGTGGTGCAAGGTGTTGATCATCACACCTGAGAAGGCTTGCTTGGAACTTGGAACAGCAAAGGGAAACATGACCAAAACCTGTCTTCTCCTGGATTGTCATGGTTTGGGCACATCCATGCATCTAAGGGCGGCTGCCTTGCGAAGTTAGAAGAGTACATGCAAACCAGGTCTATATCAGAGCCGGGAATGCTTGACTGGGTATCTCAGGGTGAAAGCCGCCTCGCTCACATACATAGGGCATAAAGAGCTGCCATAAATTCAATCACTTCTACCGAAGCCGAAATGTTTATCCTGTTCTTTATATACAGTACATCACAGCTGAAACTTCTACAAATTTCCCAATGAACGTACGGATCTGGGTTGGCTCACCCCGCACACTGCAGGCTGCGGTGAACACTCACAACATGATGAAGCATTCCTCATGTACATGAAATGGTGGCTTTGCAGTCTCACTTTTTGCTCCACAAGGAGAGTAACTGTAGTCTTCCACAGGCATCGCGAAGTGACACTCCCCCGTATCCTCCCACCTCTCGACCTCTCGGCGAACGGAAGACCGCTCCGTTGGCCACCTTGGCATCACCAAACTCCCGGAGAAGATCTTTCAAACGCCGAAAGCGGGAGGCCTCCGCTGGCGGAACGCGTGCGAGGTTGAGGCGATCTGGTTTTCCCGGAGTCGAGGAGTCCCGATTCGCACATGTTTTGATTGTCCAATTCTGTTGGTTTCATGACTGCGCTTTTGTAGACCCCCCAGGAAGGAGATCGGGCAAAATTAGGCGAACATGTCCTTTCCCTGGCGCCTGTTTGGAGGGGGGTGGCGGCTGGTGATCCATCGGTGGATCGGTCGCCGAAAGACGGTGACCGGCGACATGGCGCTGTTGCAGTAGAACCCTCCTAGAAGCGTTCTTGTTCCTAGTCAAAATCAAAGGACTTCTCTTTAACAAATGGGTCTCTACAGCGGATTCTGGGCTCCATACAATGGGATGTGAATCGTAGGAGTCAATTTTGTAGATAGGGGTGCCAGCTAACCAGACCTTGGGGTATTGTAACTCACTTATGTCGTGCGAAACTGCTGGAAAAACCCTTTGTAATCGTCCATGGGCCAAACTCTGGTCACCGCGTCCACTCGGATCGAGCTGAGCTCGGCCTTCGCAATCAGCTCGACCTCTTGGGAGATCACTGGAGGAATCCCAGCGACGGTGATCTGGCGAGCGGTGAGCTGGAGAGGACGCTCGACAGGGTTGTCCGTGGTCACCCAACCATGCCGAAAGTGAAAGCACTTGGCTTTGAAAACTCTTTCGGAAAAAACCATGTAATGAGTCTTTGTTCATTGAAATGCACTGAACTGGGGGGGTATCCAGGCTTATATCCTGGCACCAACACCCTAGGTGTGTTGAACCAGCAGGATGCGAGCGGCGCGAGGCGTAAAAACAAAGAACCAAACTGGTTTTGCTCGCAGGAATGGGAGCATGAGGTGTATGTCGCGCTATGCCCTTTCAAGCCATGGGTCCGAGAAGATCGCGGTTCAGTGCACACCCACACCAGCTTGGCTGGCAGCCGTCCGACCGCCGCTGGCACTCTGTGTGCGAAGACGAGGGCCAGGGCAGCCATCGCTCGGCAAGCTGTTCACATTCAAAGTGGTTAAGCCCAAAGCAATGAGTCAAAAGGCATGAAAAGGCGCAAGCCCATGTGATGGGAGGTAAGGATCATTCTCACTTTAGCCCCTCACTAGCACAATCCAACAAAGAAAAACATGTGTGACCCCTCCCTCCAAGACACTGGGCAGCCTTCAAGGCATCTTGAAGCAGAACGGACAGCAACTCCTGCAAATGCGAGCAACATGAACTGCAGGCTCTGAACTTCACAAAGACACTTGTTGATTAGATGAGGCACCAGGGGCGCTAAGAGTTGCGCAGACTGGTTAGTAGAGACCTCCTTGAACCAAATGCAAGCACTTCCGTCCACGGTCTCCATGCACACAAACACTGACTGCTAACCACTAAAATGTGGATGTGTCAAAATATGTCAAACATGTGCATTTTCCGGCACTGAAGCTGCGCTTTGCAAGCGGTGATGTGACACATCGACAGGTGACCTTACCCAGTTCGACCGTTCACTTACACCCGGATGGCCATCGCTACTAGGAACAAGTGCCTTACTAGTAGTAACAAGAAGCTAGTAGAAACAATTTTTTCATTTCCATTGCCGTAGAAAGTCTCTCTTCCGTGGCATCTTTGCACCTAATTCTATTGCCCTCGCAGTATCTGGGTTGAAGTCCGGTCCCTGCTTAGCTTCAAGGTCAAATCAAATCCAGCCATTAGATTCTGAACAAAGTCAGAGAACTCCTCAGGGTGGGACTTCAACCCAGGTGGCGGCAGCATATGGTGAAAAACTGCCGCAAGCGCTTTACAAAGGCCCGCTGGGTAGGCCTTGAGTTTTGCAGTGGCCCAACTGCCATCTGCCTCTCTGCCGATAGCCTGCGCTCGTGGCAAGGCTGTACTCCTTTGCTCAAAGAGGATCTGTTCAACCTCTGAGCTCACATTGGTAAACATCAATTGATCCCCAAAAGATGCAATCCCATCACTTGTGTCAGAAGATTGCCCAAAATATGGGACAAAATTGTTATGCACCGCTCTACAGACAGTATGGTATCCATCTGGAGCAAAGAGGTGCTCCTGCCGAACATCAACGAATTAATTTGATGCCGGTAGGGTCCTCCCGCACGTCATCATGGCATCGAGAATTGCCAGTCGGCATATGTCTTGCACATGACGAAGACAAGACACTGCGGTCAGGATTATGCTGTCCCACATGCTCATGTTCAAAAGCATTAGACAGGTCATGTCGGGCAATTTCATGTCCAAGTCGAAAAACATCCGCATGTGCCAAGTTCATCATGAGAAAACATGCAATTACTGCTCTTCGGCAGATCCATGTTTTGGCAATGCGTCCTCTGGCCCATCGAACTGCCCCAACTTTGCGAACCCTCGAAGGAAACCTTGGCGAAAGCTCACTTCGCTGCCTCAAGTATGCCGCAAGGCAGCACACAAGCACGCACAAAACTTGCCCCCAGAAAAGCATTTGTAGGATGTGCACACCACAGCACCCTCCAGGCGGCTCCTCTCCATCATGGCTTCCAAGTTCCAATAAGTATGAATTCAAGCACAAAGAAAGGATCCAAAGGCCACCCACATCATACCAGTCGTCAACTGGAAGCCAACCATAGAGTCTGTTATGCCTTCGGCAGAACAAATTAAGAATAGCTTTTCGCATTCTTTCAGCTGCAAATGCCAGAGCCAAAGCCCAAGCAGGTGTCAGCATGAAGATGAAAGCTTTCTTGAAGGCAAATACACGGAAAATGCCGACACCAACCAAATGATGTCCGCGGCTGCCTCCACCTGTTGTGTAGTTCAGGGAAATATCATCGAAACAATACAACAGCCCACTGTCATCATAGCTATCACCGTTAGCCAGACACTGGTTGTTGTTGACTTCATTGAAACCCGAAGTCAACCAACGATTCCACATAGTGTCAACTTTCTCATCAAAAGAGCCCCACTCTTCTGAAGAAATATTCCGAATTGCTTCCCTCTCCCACATATAGGTATCGCAGCCTTGAAATGTGGCGCAAAAACCACCTTGTGGGGAGGTACTTCCTGGGATTAGTCCGACAACTGATCCAGCACCTTGCCATCCTCCTTGCTGTTTCGTCGGCTCATAATTGCTGACCCTTTTGCATCCGTCAAGGGCAGTGCATATGGTCCTTCTCGGCCCTTCTGCTTTGGCCATTTCCCGAAAGGCTTCAAAGCATCGCTCTTGCTCATCTCTCGAAGAACTTTCAACTCTCCAGCTTCTGGCATGGCCGTCTGCTGTAATTCCTTGTCGACCATGGTAGCCATCTAATGAAAGGCTTCTGGCGTATCGTATAAATCTGGCGCACTTTCCAGGTTGCGCAACACTTCTGTGCGCAAAAGCTCTGGCATCTTCTCCACCTCCTTCTGGACAAAGGCGTTGAAATTGCCCTCTGCGATCTCCACCGGCTCCGCCATATGTGACTTGGGAGACCTTGTTCTCTCCCTCTTCGGAACTGGCTCCTCTGTCATAGCCAGGCCATGTACACGTGTGTGGACCCTTTGCTCCGGCGATGAGAAACCGAAGCTTTGCGGCATTCTTGACCCTGTCGCTGCACTGACCAAAGTGGCCATCTGCAGTTGCATCTGCTCTTGGATTCCATCTGAGCTGTATAGTTCATCATCTGCTCCATGCCATGTTTCAGCTGAGTGATCTCCGCCCTCAAGCCATCCGGGTCCTCGTTGTCCACATCGAGATCCATGCCTGCCTTTTCGTCTTTCTCTTCTTTCTTCATGGTCTCCTTCATCTCGGCAATCTCGTTCTGGAGTCTCTGAGCTTCCGTTTGAAGTCCACCACGAATATACTGGTCCCATGCTGCGAACTTCTCCTGCTTCTCTCGGATACTCTCTTGCAGCTTCTCCGACTTGTTGAGCAACTTGCGCTCTTCGTTGAGCGCCTTCTGCTTTTGTCGGATAAGTTCTCTTGGATCCTCTTGTACAAGCTCTTGTACTTCCTCTGGAACCGGCTCCTTGGTCTCGACCTTGTCCAGGAGAAAACGAATCGCTTGTTTGAGCTTCCAATTGTCTTCTTTCAGGCCTGGCTCCATCTTGTCCTGCTTTGTGGATGCCGTAGACGAGGAAGACGATGAAGAAAAGGCAACTGGGGCGCCGTCGTAGCCAAGCAAGAGGGGCTGCTCTTCTTTCTTCTTGCCCTTTGCCATCTCCTCGACTGCCGTGCCCTTTCCTTTTCCACGGCCTTTCCCTTTTCCTTTCTCCTTCTTCACCCTTGGTTCTTCCCACCAAGTCTGCGCATCCCATGAGCCATAGTCGTAGTTGGTCGTCCATGGCATCTTATATCTTGGCTGGCTATGGTGACCTTCCAGCAAGTCGAGTGCCTTCGTGACCCTTTCCACCAAGCTGTTCCTTGGTGATTTTTGGAAGCTTTTGATTAGCTTCCTGGCCTTAGAGCGTCTTTCCCTCAGTTTGCGATGCCAGGCAGGGCTATATGGCTTCCCTATGGCGGCACCTAAAAGTCGTACCGTTTTGGTACTGGGGTCCTAAGGTAATCCTGCGGTCTCCCTTGGGCCCTAGTAGAAACAATACATAAATAGAATTTAATTAGATTTCCAAGGTTGGAGGCCATCGGGCCGGTCGTTGGCCGCTCCGTCTGAGCGCCCCAGGTGGCGGAGAAGAGCAGCGTGAGGCGTCGCCTGAGGTTGGGAAAAGCAGAAATCCCGGGGGCTGACTCTTCTTTGTTACTAGTTGCTACTTGCTCCTAGTAGTACGGCCAGGAGCCCCTAGTAGCTTCTTGTTACTAACTTGTCTTTTCCTCTTTGAGGTTTCAAGGGCTGCTGTCTTTGGTGCCAAAGGCTTGCACTTCAAGGTCTTGGGAACTTGCAAACCTATCGAGACGACTATCAAGATGTATTAAGGAACAACCCTTTTGAACAGTGGGTGTGCACAGTAGTCCCTTCTGGAATTGTGTGATATGATCTGAAATGATCTGACTACTTTTTGCTTGGTCTGGCCATCAACAGTGAACCGTGTCAAATCCTTTGTGGGGAAGAATAATCAATACTCAAAATCTCTCAAAAGCAATGTGTGCAGTTGGAAGTGGGTTGGAGGCCATCGCCAGTAGGTTGGCGGCCACACCTATTAGCTTCCTTTTGCTATTAGAGATTGGAGGCCGTCGCTATATTCAACCCGTTGAATCTGGATAGCTGATGTTGGCAATCCAACGCGTTGTTTATGCCAAAACCACACTCTGGCGTTTCTTACTTCGTCATGTTGCCAAGCTCGAGGAGCTTCTCTACTCGGTCCACCTCCATGCACTGCCCGCGACGATGTCTTGACCGGAAGCTCTGAGCGCCCCAACCGATAGCAGCAAGAGGCCAATGCCATGATGTCCTGACGGGACATGGACTCACAGGACCCTGGCGTGGTGATCTACTCGCACACCAGGGGTGTCGACACCAGAGGTGGACCACCAGGCGAGTCTGCCAACAGCACGCAGGCGAGGCTGCCCGCCCCTCTGCGAAGTGCTAGCCTTTCACCTGGCTGGCTGGTCCGATGCAGGTGTAGCCTACGCTCTGAACGGAAGGAATGATGAATGTCCCTCTCACCCGAACCAACAAAGGACATGAAGTCGCCGCGAGGGTTGGTGGCAATCAGCTACTTCCAAGAAATTGGGATTTGGATGGAGTTGGAACATTTTGTAAGCTTCTGCATGCACATCCTCCGTGCCATCCAACTGCAGTAGAGGATTTGCAAACTGGTTTCACCGGAGAAAATACTGAGGAACTTCTTCTTGCACCTACTGCACAATATACCATATTATACCATATCAACATAGCACCCGCGTAGCCTGAGTTTCTGTTGGCCCACCTGACGAAGGTCCAAGGTTTACTGAAACAGTCTGGAACGTACAGGCTTTTTTTCCACCCAAGGCAATCCTGAGGTTCCAACATTCGCAGTCAATGTAGCAGCCTTCCCCAATTCTGTCCCTTCGTGGGTTTTTCATCGTTCTTTTTCAAGATGTTCACCGCCTGGCTGTGCCGGGCACCTCGTTTCTTTTACCTCACGCGGATCCAGATCGAGACTGCGGAGCGGACAAAACCACTTCATTGACTTGTCGGTGGTTCGCCCTGACCTCGTCGCACGAGGGTCAAGACCCTGACTGGGGGATGGCATGAGAACGGATGCCTTGCTAAAACGTTCCGCTATAATGGACGATTACGGCAAAAATAGGCCACGTCTTCATTGCTAAGGTATGGTATACTCATTAAGTTGGAACCTGTGGATATTTCTTGGTATTTCCTATTTCCTGAGATGGAAGGTGAGAAAGTCAAGTGGAGCGAGGACCAGTCGGCCGCATGACCCTCACAAACGTAGTCAGTCACTGTCCCTGAAACGATCGAGGCGAATCCGAACGACACTATAGAGTCAGTCAGTTACCCCCCCTTGAACAAGATTGAACAAGTACGGTATGAACCTGCAGGTCCCTTCTTGTGGTTTGAGAAGGATGAGGTCAAAATAGCAAATGTGCATCACAGTAGGCAAACCAAAAACAATCCTCTCAGCAGCTTCAGCTTTTCACTGTTGCTGCCGAAGATTGCGCCCCTCGTGCGGCGTGCAGAATTGCAGTCGATTCGTCTCGTCTTGGTCAAGGTGCCCCTGGCTTCGCAAGGAAGCGCTTACGTGGGCTTCTCAGGCGAATTCTGCCGGGCGGGGCTTTGTTTGTCCTTTCAATGCCTGTCTCTGGCAGCATCTGCAAGTCTGAGAGTCTGCACATGACATCACATGACCTGGCCTTTGCCAAACTCCATTCAAGCAAAACACCAGACCTGAGGGAACTTGTGGAGGGACCGGCAATGTTCGCAAAGAGGGGCTGCCAAGCGCAGTTCTTGTATATATATATATATGTATATACCTGGATGCATAGCAAAAAACACGGCCTTCATACACCTCACAGCCTAGCACCTCTGTTGCACCGATCACATGTGCCGAAGGTCCTTATGTCCAAGACTGTCCTAGCCGAAAAGACTTCTAGTAGGCTTCTTGGCTCCCCATGTAGCAGGAAGACGGTCTAGACCCGCCTGAACCTTTTCGAACCAAAACATTTTGCCCAGACGTCAACATTCCAAAGAAACGGTCCGTTCACAATCAAAGGGTTGGTCTTAAAAGGCCATAACTAAGGTTTTAAAACATGCTAAAACATAGATCACTGTCATGATGAGACACTTTGCTGCTCTTTGCCTGCCCCACCCGGTCGCAACACTACCCGAACGATCTGCACGTGGCCCTGTGCAATTGGTGGCCACGCATCCCACGATCGGCGTGGCAGCGAAGGAAGATCCACACTCAGATGTTGTCCACATCCACACCAGCAGCCTGTAGACGTCTCTGGGTATGAAAACCCATAGGCGTGCCCGATGAAACCAAAAACATCCATATTCAGGGCATTCTTTGGATCCCAAGATAGCGCCCAACTCGATCGATCCCACGCTTGAACCAGAAAACATCGACTCCACCTGGCAGTTTCACTTGTCATTCCTGAGGAATGGGTTCAACTACTCTTTGCTGGGTGTGGTCTTATCAACGATTCCACTGTTTGATCCACCTCTTTGCTTTCTAGTGACCAACTCACTCTCACAGTGTTCCCCTCATCCACTCACTCAAGGTTGTAGCATGGGTCACCACCCTCGCTGCGCCAGTGCCTCGTCGAACTCCACACCATCGTCGCTGGAGTCCTCTCCTCCCAAGTCCGTCTCATTGATCTTCACCTGGCGAGATTTTGAGTGGGATCTTAACAAGTGCTTGGCGGAGAAGTTCTGGAATTCCTTTGGTTCTTGGAGTGTTGTCAACAAGTCTGCCTTAGATTAGCAGACATGAATGAGTGAACCTATCAAACGCCCCCTATGCATCCGGGTCATCAATGGTTGCACTTGGAACCTGAAGGTGAACTCCTTGCAAGGAGTATGGCCATATCCAACATGCTGACTATCTTCGACATCCGTCAAGCCACCCAACTGCCGAGTGAGAGCCGATAAGTGTGTGCGTGTGACAAAACCAAGGTCCACGAAGTGAACAAACACACGGTATGATTCGGTATGATCGGCATTTTTGCTGTCCAGAGCTGAGTGCCACACACCACACCAAAAAACATCCAAAAACCCATCCAACCACTGATCTAAGCTCTTCATCGAACCTGCATCCGGAAGCTGGCACCTGTCGTGCGGCCGAGGGACGTTCTCCGGAAGCTCGTTGAGATTCTTCAGGCTTCGAGCCTCCTCGGCGGTGTATTTCACGATGATGTCGCCTTTCTCATCCTGAGGAAGGGTTGAACGGAAGAGGCGGTGAGCTGATGAGAAAGCAAGTGGGCGGGGCGGCAAGACACATGTGCGCTCGGTGATTTCATGTGTGCTTGTGCAAGACCTTCGGCCACTGCTTCAGGGACTGACCTTTCTTTAGGAATCAAACCGGCAGGGAGCAAACGAGAGATCAAAATCAACATCACACCAAACAGAATCAAAGAAGCACTGCCCTGGGACCTGACACGAGCGCCAGAAATCCAAACCCAAGTGGAGGGGTGTGTCTGGTGCCTGGAAATCACGGAGGGAGACGAGGACAATGTCACCCTGATTGCACCACACCTTCTTCCTCATCTTACCTTGGCAGTCACGGTCCGGCGGTTTCGGGCTTGGCATTCCGTCTGGCGAATTTTTTTGAGGAGGAAGATCCTTTGCCACTCGCCCGGAAAGACAGAAAACATGAGAACATCTAGCCGCCCCTTCTGTTCGCATACATGTTGCATCCTTTCACAGTGCCGGTGACTAAGACCTGGATCAAAATACTTCCTAGTGCACAGGCCAGTCTCTGGAGTTACCTCAGGCGACCATGCAACCCCATTGCAAAGCGCGGAAACGGCTACCAGCTCCACCTACCTGGCTAGTTCTGCAGATCGAAGCTCCTGAACAAACCATGCATCATTCAATTTTTCTGCTAGGATTTCGAGTCACTTCCATCTCATATCTACTCCCATTCCCCATCCCGATCCATCTCCAACCATCTGCTCCCGAGTCGCCGCGAATGTGGCACAACCTGCGCGGCGACTCAAGGCCGGTCATGTTTCGGTGCCGCACTCGCGGCAACATCGAAAAGAAACGCCACGGCTAGGTGGCTAGGTCAAGCAGTGAACAGGTCGAGAACAGATTGAGTCTCAAACAGATTGAGTACTGGAGTCGTGTTTGACTGTCGCTCCATCAGACTGGTCTGCTGAGCCTGAGTTGTGCTTTCGACCGTCCACACGCTTGGCGGCCAAGGTGCCGCTTGACCCCATCGACGCATTGCACGTCACAGCGGCCGTTGCCCAACATTCGGGTGATCTGACCATACTCCTGGCACCGGTTAGGTGTTAGGACGGGCCTCTGAAAGGCCTCTTCCCCAAGGAGCTCTTTCGCATCAACAGTGGCTTTGGAGTGGGAGTGAGTTTGAGCTGCCCTCATTCATTGGGCAGCATGCAGCCTGAACCGTACACCGATTCTTCACACGATTTTGGAGTTCGTGCTGCTCCTGGGTTTTTGACATCTGTCTCTCTTGACCTATCTTAGCAGCACTGCCACTACAAGGATTCTTCGGAGCGTCGCGGGAGAGGGGGAAGCGAGTACTCGAGAGATGCGCTTGGAAGATCCAACGAATCCGAGTCCTGACCATCTTCCTTGAATTCCAGCTCCTTCTTGTTGTTCTCGGTGCTGGCCTGGCAACGAAAGGCAGCGCGCTCAAACCCCAAGGTGCTGCTCTTTGCATCTTCAGGTTTCGCAAAGCAGACTCAAATTGTGGACGATATGTAGTTCCACTGCCACTGCCCTCCTCTTCAAAACAACGCCACACGCAAACCCAAAAATGAGTTCAAGCATGCGCTTTTGACACTGTCTGAGCATTCATACAAGGTGTTTAACTTCGGGCACTTGACCCACTCACAAGGTCTATCTTCCTACCTTGTGCCGTTTCTGTCCGCCTGAGACTTCTGAACCAAACCATAGTCTTCATATGTCTTCATATCTTCAAGGACCAGGGAAACACAGTTACATCGATGAACAATATCTGGACCCAAAGTTCGAGTGTATATTTTCTATATACCAGATGCACTCCGCAAGTTCACCTAAGTGTTCACCTAGCTGCAAAGTCCACCCACCGATAGACGCACATGGACTGACTTCCTTTTCAGCCTTTGGAAAGAATGTCGCCATCCCGCCTTCGCACGCTTGGCCTTGTTTCCTCCAAGCTTGTTCTTTGGCATGATGCCTGAGTGCCGCAGCAGTGCGCCGCAGTGCTGCGTAAAGCTTACGCAGGCGGCTTATGAACGTGCTCATGCAGGTGAGGCAGTTCCTCACCACTGAGCCTTAGACTACTTCAAGAGTTGACTCGCAAAAATTGGCGAAATCGGCTAAAATCGCGAGGCTGAGAGCCGAAAGGGCGGATCACGAGGCATAGTGGAAACTGGCGTCTTGCGTCTGCGGCAACATGTCCAGCAAAGGAGGGGTTGTCAAAATCACATCCTTTGCGGATGTGGGGGGGCATGTAGGGAGATCTGCCATCCGGAATTAGTTTGAACAATGATCTGACTGCGGTCATTCAGCGACTTGCTTGATCTCCTCTTCGAAGCCTTCATCGATGAGTCGATCCCCCTCGTCCAGCACCAGGCGTAGCACCACCTCATCCGTGCGGACCAGTATATAACCGCTGGGAAAGTGACAAGAAGAATCGTTGGGCAACCGACCTGATCAAGTTTAACATATTGCCAGTGCGTTATCATATGTGTGACAACAAATCCGCTTCCGAACTTCTATTCAATAAGCATATTTCCTTAAAACACCTGGTGTCCTTCAACAGTGCAACTCGGGTCCAAGCCTCTTCATGTTCTCTGGTCCAGCACACATCTAGGCGTCCCCGCGCCCAAGGACAGTAGAGCCTGTGGGTGCTTCTCCTGTCAGAAAAAGGGTGGAAAAGAAGCTCCGACACAACTTGCGCTCGCCCGTGCACTCCATGCCCGAGCCCTGTGCATACTGCGGGCAAGAGCAAATCGGTCAAGAAAGAAACACATCAAAAACCCCTCAAGCAGTTCAAGAAAGTAGCGGCAAATTATGTAATGAAGTATGGATAAAGCAGCTTTGTTCCAGGTGGATGCATCGCTGGTGGACCTGTATCCCGGTCAAACCTCGCAATAGTCTGGAGGGAGATGTATCATGGACTTCTTTGGACAAACTCGTGGAAACGGCAACGAAACTGAAACGCGGTAACCATCAACAAGCCTAATCATGAACCATTCTAATTTTCTCCCAAGCTGGTCTGTTGTGATGGGGTTGTTGGAAGCACGGGTTAGCACGGGTGTATACACTCCCTAAACAAAATGTACAATGGAAGTGCTTCATTCTGGCCGATCTGCCGGTTGCCCCTGGTATCTCTTTTGCTGTCCGCCGCCGAATTCCACACACCTGACCACATTTGAGGGGTTCTAGGCTAGGTGCTCAAGGCAATATAGCCAAGTGCTGCTTGGGCTGCGTGACTGCTTGCAGCCCTTGTCAACTTGCACATGCAAAGTCCAGGGTCCCAATAAGCTTCAATAAGCAAGGTAAATGTGCACAAAGAGTGTGATCCCAATTGCTTCATCTCCTTCAATGATCGGTGGAGCCAATGCCGCATGTATGAACCTTCCCCGGAATTGATTGTCGGTGACCCAAACCACTTTTGACCACCACAGGCTGAAAGTGACATGCAAGTCTTTCTGGAGGAAGTCATCTTTTGCCACTTTCCAGTGACACACCAGCACCGCCTGAAGGCCTCCTGACTCGCTCTCAAGATTTGGAACAGGTCCGGTCTGGCTGGCCATAGCTTACTTCGGGTCCAATCAAGCGTCATCCATTGTGACCAATACCAAAGTAGACAGGACACCATGCAAAAAAGCACCTGTTGTGGTGGTTTGGCCACCTATCTGTCCATCCAATCCGTCTATCTTAAGAACACACGCAAGAATCCGCAGCAACACCCACGATCACTCCCAGGGCCTGCCGGCCTTCACCTCAGAATAGACATGAGAAAACACCAGTGACGCCAAGCTACACTGTCCAGTCCATCCGCCTTGCCAAAGAGTCTGAATCTATACTTACTCGGCTTGGTGATCACTCTTCCTGGACATCGTTTAAAGAATGCTTAGACACTAGAACCACTAGAAGCAATTGGGCCTCATGGTCTTCGTCGTGAAGCCTTTTGTGATCAATTGTTCCCCAAAGAAAACAACACCTACATGAGCTGCATCTGAGATGTCTCCCTTCACATGGGTCATATGAGGTCCAAAACACACACAATCACATACAAAGACGCATTCCTTTTTTCCCTCCCACTCTCCTCCTATTGGACTGCCACCCCTCCTACCGGACGCACACAGTGGAGTCTCCATTGCGGACTCTCCGTCCCGTCCGGACCGATGCAGCCGCGGCACTTTGGGCCCGCGCGGCGGCGGAAGCCGAGAGTTGACCACCTGGCGACCAGGGAGGCGGAAGGACCATGAGGAACCCAGAGAGGACAGGAAGGGACCATAATGCCATAGGTTTGCTGATGCTTGTGGCTGATGAGGCTGATGAGGCGGCTGAGGAGGATGCGCCATAGCAACTCATGTTTGTTTGGTATCAGGATGTTGCCAATGCGGCTTGCACGGGGTGTGTCTGACGTTCTTAATGAATAAATCACGCATCCATCCTGGCACCGGCGGCCAAAATGTCGCAATGGCACTCAATATGAAAAGCTAATTACAGCCACAAGCCAACCAGAACGGTGTTGTCTTATGTTCTTATGTTGTCTTCACTGTCTTTGATCCTGTTTAACCAAGGCAATGACGCCTCACCTTGTCCAAGAAAACGCAGGTGCGTTGAATATTCAAGTTGTAGGAAGCGACCGTCGTACCAGCAGTGCTGAAACGGACCGACTCATGCACTCATGCAGTGCAAGACCCAAAAAAACCCTGTTTGCCATTCAATATGAACTCAAGGTCATTCAAACCAAGAATTACGCCACTACACACCCCAAGCGCACAAACCGGCACCTCGTCCACCCTGTTGAAGTAAAAACAATTAAACACGTCGCCTACACTTGGGGAAAAACCACAGGGTCCCCCGGCACAGCGCACGGAGCCGGCCGGGCGTGGCGACCTCATGTGAAGAGCGGCGGTTCTGGGGAGGGAGGGAAAGCGTGTTGGGAAGGTCCTCAGAAAGATACATGTTTTCGAACGAAAGGCGAAGAAAGGCATTGAATGGCAGCGCAGCACGGTGATGTGAAGCCATTGTCTGAAAATTGGCTTGAGTGCAGTATTACTAGTAACAAGAAGCTACTAGTAACAAGTGCATCGCTACTAGGAACAAGTGCCTTACTAGTAGTAACAAGGTTTGCTATTAGGATTTCCACCACCTTTCTGGGAAGTTCACTCTGTGACCGTAGCTTTCACAGCTTGTCGCTGGTCCTGGTCCAAGCGACGACACGATGTCGCACTTCACGCGATCTCATCTTGATTTTCCAAAACATCTAAGAACTAAATTAATAGGAAGCTTCCCCTGCCGCCTTTAGGGCAAAAAGGGGGGCTTCCTTCAAGATGCATGAGCTATCCCGCGTGCAGTAGATAGTAGCCTACTTAGCTCTTAATTGAGTAGGCGCCTACATAAGTCAGCAAGAGTGAGTAAACAAAACAAAACAAAACAAAAGGCCGCGGGCCGCGCACGCAAAGTGGCGTGACTTTTTCAGCTCCCCAGGTGTTAGGATCTGCCAGCGGTGTCTCTGGCATCTCGCAGAGGCAGGTGACGACATCTGCATCGGTGTCTGGGAGGCAAACGGGCACCGTCCTCCTCACGTGTCTGGCAACGTCGAACGCGGCTGGTTCTGTCATTCCGCCATGCCAATTGTTGCATTTAAGGGTTTGCCTCTTTCCACCTGCGATTCCCCTATATGCTCATCTAAGCGGGCCCAAAATCGATTGAGAAGTGAAGCTAATTGCGGGGATGGTCGGCCATCTTACAAAAGATGGTACGCTAGTGTGGGCACCCGCTACTAGTAACAAGGGCATTACTACGTAGCAAGAAGCTACTAGGAGCAAAGGGCATCGCTACTAGGAGCAAGGGCGCTTGGAAGCAGCTCGGGGAAGTCCATGTCGTTTACTTGGCTCGCTCTCCTCCGAAACCAACCGCTGTCATTTAGTTCAAAGTGGTAGATTGCCCCCTGACGGTGCCTTGCAAGCGATGTCAACAGTTGCAATTTGATGACCAGCAAGGTAGGATACTGTGTTGGACATATCACATTAGCAACTCTTGGATGCAGGAGACTTGGACAAAGCAAACCCTCTGCACAATATCTTGGACGCATGGATGACTGCGTGCTGGGTAAAAAGGCAACGCACGGTCTGATGCATGTCTTGGACTGGCAGTGTATGCTTGAAACATGGCATTTGGCAATTGTATCTGTTGTATGGTCGTTTGTGCCACAGGTCTACTGTATATCAATTCGACCATTTGCCTGAGAAGAAAAGACATCCAGCCTACTGGCCAGCATCATCGCTTCCGAAGCCTCACAGGTCATCTCAGCTCCAAGAGTCAGTGGTGCGGCACGTGCGCGATTGGTGCGCTTCATCATGAAGCGGAAAAAGAAGGGATCTGAAACCTGGTTCCGAAACCCGGTCTGAACCTGGAGTGCATTTATCACAGCCAACTTTGCTTTGACGCCCTTTGCTTGATGCCCAACCTTAGTGGCATGCTCTTCTTCTGACACAGGAATCATCTCAAAAGGCAGGCTCCGAAGACATGTCTGGTTGATGGGGCCAGCCTGAGGACCTCCCAACCAACCATCAGAGCGTCAGTTGCACCCAAAAATGCATTCAGGACAGATCTTCCTAAAGTTCATTTCTGATTCTTTGCCTAAGGTTCTATTGAAGGCCCCTTGGCCTCGTACCTGCCCAAGGTGTCTGATTTGTCCAATCTTGGTGGGGTTGTGCGAAGTAACAGCTGCAAGTGCTTGCCAAATCAAAGGGTCGACCTGCGATTGTGACTTCTTCTCTTACAAAGGAACGCCGTCATTTGCACCCCGGGCGTATGGAAAATCTTGTGCGCTCGGAAATGCATTGCTGGCTGCACAGGATTGGGTGAATTCTTGATGGAACGAATACTATCAAAATCGGGCGAGCCATGGCTGGAACAGGTACGTCCTCATCAGCGGAATTGCCAAATGAAACATGCCAGGCAGCCATCTTGTATTTGGAGGCAATCAAGTTTTGAAATTGCTGCGGACCTGCTCCCTGCTCATGTGATAGCTTAGACAGGCCTTGTTACCTTTTAAGAGCTTATTCTGCAAGCTCAGCTGCTCTTTCTCACCTTTTTCTCTGGCACATGCCTTCTCGCTTTCCTCGCACCTTTCCATTAGCTCTTGATTTTCTTTTTCATGCTGCTTCTGCATCGCCAGCTGCTTCTCCTTATGAGTTTCTTGCTGACTTTTCTGGTCCTCAGTCAAAGCAGCCTTGTCCATTTTTGATATGTCCGTATGGGCCTCCTCTAGACGAAGTAGAAGCGCCTTCCCTCACGCGAACCGGTATCACAAACATGCTTTTCGCCGGGGTGGCTTCTGCTTTGTACTTTTGATTCTCTGCATCAAGTTGCGCAATGTTTTGGTCTGCAGGGTCAACCAATTCCTTTTGCATCTTCCATCCGCCCTTCTGCTCAGCCACCCGTGCCTCTCGCGCCATTGACTTCCAGATCGTCACGAACGTGTGGGCGCTCTTAAGCCACTTTTCGACGATGATCGTTAAACCCTTTGCGAAGGCTAATCTTGCCATATGAGCGCGCCTGGGGAACCCCTACATCCTCACAAACCATTGCAAGGAGTATTTGTGGCGCTCCCAAGTTCTCCAAACAAGTTTCGCATGTCACTCCGACTGCACAAATCGCCGGAGCAGCTCGGACTGCACAAGGCATGTTCACCTACGACCTCAGAAATCGTCTGAGAAACCGGTCGCTTGAAGCCAAGTGACTTAGCCCCATTTGGTCCATTTGGTGTGCGAAGCCACACGAGACCGGTGAAAACGAAGCCACATGTAGCAGAACGACACAAAAGGCATAGCTACATAACAACCAAACTCTTGCCAAATTAACGTGCTTACCTCAGAAAAAATCAACTTCAACCCTTACAGAAAGCCACAATCACCAAGAAGCTGAAGCTGAACAGGCAATCTTGGAACATGCTTACCGCAAAGACCCCCTTCACCGCCAAAACTGTGCTGTCTTCCCGCAGTGGCCTCAGCCACCAGGGTGAAGCCATCTTCCCTCCATCCCTCCTCCGCAGGTGGGAGCAGGAACAGTCGAAGGACTTCAAAAAGTGAAGGCACACCTGGACTATCGACACACCTGGAGAATTCTTCAAGGGCTCAGCCTTGGCCACCAATTCCCTGTATACCGTATACCACCCACGTGAGCCGCCCACGTCAAATCCAACTCCTGGATGTGGAAGCCGAAGCTCCTCCAAAAGCTCTTGCCCACCTGGCCTCAGTGCCACGCTCAGCTGGCTAGTGCAGTCCGAGAAGAAGAGTCCCACTGTCCCGGTCATTTCGCGAGCGGAAGAAGGCTGGAGTGGACTGACGCGAAAAGGGCATGCAGGTGGCAAGCATTGAATCAAATAAGAGACAGGTTACATCATGTTACATCAGGGTACTCACTTTATATAGGGCATTTTAGAAATTCAAAGAATAAACATAGAATAAACATGAATAAGCCTCGCTCTTTCCATATATCTGGAACATTCTGGAACAGCACCCCCTGCCCCTACCTCGGCAAAGCTCTTGCAACTCCTTCTCCAGCTGCCGCAAGGCCATCATATTCGCCTCCGCCGACTGCCTTGGCATTTGGTTTGCTGCACTGCTGCGGTCTGGCGTCACCATCTTGGCCATTTCTGCCACAAACAGCCATCACCATCATCAGAAGAGGTGAGCTCTCAAGCATTCTCAAACCAATACGCCTGACGCCTGTTTACATTCCAAGGAACCCTCCAACAAGTCACCAATGGTCATACTACAGACCTTCAGGGTCAGGTCATCACTCACCCATTCACCAGCTGATCAAACCCCTGAGTCGTATGAGACCAATGCAAGCATCTTCAACAGGCCTACGATATATCCGCCCAAAAACGAAACTTACACATGGAGTCGTGAGGAGTGACCCCATGAAAGTACTTCCTGAATGTAGACTCTAGAATTGGAAAAAACACTCCTTGGATTATAAGACTTCCTCATACGTCATATGGAAGGTTGTTATTTATCAAGAGCCTGCATATTGGCCCATATTGGCTACATTACCCACATACATCCGATGTGAAAGCACCCCATTTCCCCACTCCAAAGTGGGATTCTCTTAGAGGTGCTCGGTCTAATGCCTGCTCCTCCCTTGCTCGCTTGCTCCACGCCACGGTTGGCCCATGGGATCGGTGGAGGTCAAGGCGAAGACCTGCAGCGGATCCCGTGGCCAAAGATCCTGACGACGCGACCGGCGCAGGCCGGCGCAGCAAGGATCGGTGTCGGACTGCTACGCAGTAGAAACCCTAGTAGCGATGCCCTTGTTACTAGTAGGGCCAGGAGCCCCATTCGTAGCTTATTGTTCATAATATCACTATCAATCAGGATGCAGATGGTGAGGACGATGACGATACATCACCATCACAGTAATTACTTGGTTTGATGGTCTGACGAATGTCTGACGTCAGGTCTTTTGATGTCTGTCATCTTTCCGGGGCTGGACTTGTTCTGTCAGTAGCTCTTACAGCTGGAGTTGTCAGCGCGGCCCGGCCGACTGGACTCATCGGGGAAGAAAATTCACTCCATCCCAGTTCCAAAGGAGGTATTTTTAGCGGCCTAATCAATCAGGTTTGAGACACACGCTTCCGCTGAGGGGGGCAGATCCAGGGCCCAATCAGTCGGACAACGGGACTGGACGTATTCGGATTCTGCTGCGGTCCAGGTGTCTCGAAATGGCGGAGGCATAGCCGCAACCACGGAAGCCTGCCCAATTCACAAAAGGCCGCCCAATTCGGAAAGGTGATGAACACGATGGCAAAAGCATGTGATGTATTTGACCTGGCCTGCGGATCCGTCGGCCGCATGTAGATGCAGCCAGGTAAGCCGAAGGGTTCGATCCAGCAATCCACCCCATTCGCCCAAATCTGCTGTAGCGACATGGCGTGCAGCCAGTCCGGCTGGTTTGGTCAAACTGTTTTGTCAGCACATCGGTTTAGCCTCATCTCACTTTTTCTGTTCGGTGCTGCTGTGCTTGGGTCAGGCCACTCCATAAGACACCTCCAAACCGTTCAGAGCCCCCTTGCCGAACGAATCACTCCGACCGCTGGGAATCCAACCGAAAGGTGCGGTGAATTAGTGCCACGTCAAGGCTCATACGAGCAGCTCATACACATCCATTCACGAACCTTGAAAACAACACGCCCTTTCAACTGCTTTCACCGTGATCTTTCCATTCAGGTCCGGCTCAGCATCCAAAGCCCACAAGGCTGCGATTTGTATTGAAACTTATTGAAACCACATGGTTTTTCTGGACCAACTGGTGGATGGGTGTGGCTTGGAAAACGTGGAAAGGCTCATTAAGGGAGAATTCCTTTCGTTGAATCAACTCCGAACATCCGTGCAACAGCCAGGCTGGATGAGCCCAAGCCGGCTGATGGTGGCCAGTAGCATATGGTAGGATGGTTTAAGTGGAAAATGATTGCCCTGTAAATTCAACTGCCAGAAGCCTGGCTCCGTCAGCAACTTGCAACCTTCTCACGCAAAAGACTTGCATCTTTTCAGTGATGGACTTCGACCAAAAATCTTCTGAATTTAGGTGTTTGAGACCTCTGCAGTAGACTCGCCGAGAAGATCGGAGTCCACTTTTGGGGGACCAAACTGCAGGTTGACCATGATTGACGCCCGAAGCACATTATTGTAGGTACAACCGGTTCCACTTGAGCTCCACGGCCAGCAATGAGGGCCGCTCGTTCTTGAGCTGCTCCCGCTGCCTGAGACGAGATCTTTTCAGAGGAGATCGAGAAATTTGGAGACCGAGGTCCAACCACGTCATGGGCGGTGCCGCATGACGTGGTGCCGATGAGAATGACCGGATATGATGGGATGAGCATGTCTACTTCGCATGTCGACATCTACATCTGCCCAAGTCCCGAGAAGTCGTTGGGTCTCGTGCCCAAAGGGTGGTGGCAAACACATAAGTTATAAGACATAAGCAGTCATTTGTGTGTGAATCCACGCCCTGCATGGAGTGATCGCCAACTGTTCTCATTCACCAGACCAACAAATTCAATGTTTAGCAGTAGCTATATAAAGAAGAAGAACCTTGAAGCAAAGAAAAAACCACAACAAGCTGAGTGGTGCTTGGTGCGTGCAAGTCCAGGGAAAAGAATGCACTCATAGAAATGCAATTGCCATTGAAACCTTTTGTCTCATGCCTCATAGAAGTACGGCACCCATCATGTCTCATGTCCATACAAAACACAACTAGGAATTGAACAAAGGGCATCGATACTAGGAGCAAGGACGCTACTAAGCCGCTACTAGGGGCTCCTGGCCTTACTGCTAGGAACACGAAGCTACTAGGGGATCCTGGCATTGCTACTAGGAGCGATCGGACGAACACATCGCCGCAAACGACGCCTCTCATGGTCCACGCCGCCCAGAATCACTTTTGCTGCGCAGCCCAAGTCCCTTGCCACCTCTCACGAGGCAACAGCATAGGTAGGCGTGAAAAGGACTGGTTGGAAAGCATAGTCTGTAGGCGTGTACTGTAGTTCAATTGTCTCTTTCCTGTCTTCTTACGGAAAGAAATTCCATATTCTTGTCCTGAACTAAGAACAAACTTGGCCCCATAACAAGTCATATGCAACTGACTGCTCATCTTGCCACATACTAGGTGCAATGGGTAGAAGAAGCTGCTGATGTACGAGGTGCGACTGATCAGCTCTTGGAATATCAACCTTTGCGGCTCGGATATTTTGGGATTCCTGGGCTGCTACCCGCACACCTGCCCCACTTGCTGCGCCAACTCGCGGCTTGGAGCAAGCACGAGCCTCAAGTCACGTGGCCAAAGCCAAGTTTTCTGAAACATCCTCATGCAACGGTCGCCTATGGCAGTCTCGAGATGTACTTGGACAGCACATTTGCATTTCTTGTTTGGTTTCTTCTAAGGCACGAAGTGGGGGAACAAATTCTCAGGATTTGGGGTTGTCGATTGTGTTCATGGAGCTTGAGGTGGGTGGAGAGCCTCTTGGCACCTACATTTGTTCCCTTTTGATGTCTTGCCACCGCGAGGCCTGTGATGTGGCTTGTGGTCGGCAAAGGTTGTTGCATCCCAGGGCCATGATGTGTCAGTAGTTGCCAGTGGCCATCCTAGGCGTCCGACGTATTATGATCGCAACCCACTGTGACCCACTCCTAGTCAAGTGCAAATCAGGCTCCCGTGCCCGGATGGCCGCAGCCGGCCTCAGGAAGTACTGGCTGTAACAAGTGAGGTGAAATGCTGGCTGCCTCACTGAACCAAAAACGTACACTCTGACTGACTAACATGGAAGTGGAAAATGGGACCCTGGAAGACTACTGTCCTCTACAAAACACGGGCTTTTCCCCTTCCATGTGAGTGAGTCAGAGGTTAGTAAGGAGACAAGGGCAAGGCCTTGATCTGTCAGCATATGGATGGTCCCACATCCGATTCACTAACAAGCAAAACGATACAACAGGAACCCTTCAATAGAAATCGGATGCTCTAGGCTGACCTAATGGCAAAAGCCTTCTGACACCGGCTGTAGGTGGGGCGCCTGAAGTTGAAGAACTCGGAAAAACGAGTTTGTAGCAAATCATTCACAAAAATCATACAATTACATGTGAAGAATAAATCGAATTCACACATAGATTTGGACCAAGTTTTCTTCGACAGCACGGATGATTGGATATGATTGGACTCTCGAAATTTTGGATCGGTTTCGTGGGGCTTGGACCATTGGACCCCGGCTGGCAAGGTCCAAAGGTCGCTACTAGGAACAAGAAGCTACTAGGCTAGAAAGGACATGAAGAGAAGCAAGGTTAGCAGCTGGGCCTAACTCCCACAACGTCGCGCTGCCAACGGTCGTCGCTAGCGCCCAGTCCACCCTTGGCTGGCCTTCTGCGTCTAAGTCTTCCAGCAACTTCGACCACTTTTCCCTCAATGCCTGGGAGGGATGGTCGTGCAGGCTTTTCAGAGTCAGAGTATGTCATAGTGGCATTTCTTCCGTCAGGTCGCGGAAGTTTCGTGCCAACCAAGCCACTCATGAAAAGCTTCTGGCATAGCAATCCCATGAGCTCTGCAATCCCACAACCATGCCTCCAATGAAAGCTGTTCCTCCCCAAATTTGTCTGGAAATGTTTTGTTGGATGTCGATGATGTCCGTACCGGTAACTTCGGCACTGCCCAAAACAAGATGTACCGACCGGGTTCAACTTCTGCAAGCCTCAAGCGCGTATTGTGCGATTGCTGTAGTGGACTATCGATGCGGCTGCAGCCTTGTCTTTGTCACCTTCGGCCGCTTTCTTGGCCACTTGTTTAATGACCTACCGCCAAAGACGGCGACGAGCGGCTCGGGGTGTGTGTGACACCCGGCTCAAGTGCTCCGGTTTCTTTCATCGCCCGGATACGCCGGCAGTTGTGGGAATTCAGTGCCTTTAGGATATTCAATTCTAGGTGTTTCAAGTTTCAATCCTATTATTTTATCTGACGTCGCTCTATGAAAATGAATAGTTTTCCTCAAGGTGATAAGCACTCCCACCTCTGAGACTTGCATACAGTCCTTGAATTGCTTCAATTTTTGGTCTTGCGTGTGAGTGGGGGGGATTTGTTCCCACTCCAGTTTTCCATGCCAAGCCATGCAATTGTTTTTCAGGTACTTGGAGAAAATAAGCAGCGTTTGTTGATAGAAGCAGTGCGTAATGTCAGGAATACAAAAAATCATCTGATAGCTGGCCATCCATGCTTGGGGGTCTCTATGCCCAACCTTTTCACTGAAACCCTTCAACATCAGGTGGCTTCCACCCATCCAAAAGTATACACTGCACACCAAATCCCATTGGATGCGTCATCTTTGCGTGGTACACTCTGCACGTGCCTTGGTCACTTCAGCGGTCTTTCGCGCGGCGAAGGCTTTGGAGAGGCGCTCCATGATGGTGTCGTTGCTGCACGTGCGGACGGCAGGACCGGCAACGAAACTGTTGAGCTACGAGCTCCCATCATTGGACACTGCACCAAAGACCTGTCATATATATCATACCGGGATCGAGGGAGGATGAGAGATGGTGCTGCTCCCATTGGGCCACAAGAAACGACTCGTCCGACTCGGAAGGCCAGGGACCCACTGCTCGCAGTCCTTTGAGCTCCACCAGCGATGGGACCCCACGCCTGCCACGGCCAGCTTCGAAGGACCTGCGGAGTGCATTGCATGCAGAGCTGCTGCAACCCTGGGTCCTCCTCCTCGAAATTTCACAGGCCACCTACTGCGATTCTGGAGCAGGGCCATCTGCTTTGTGAACACTAGATCTGCTTCCCAAATCCATTTGCTGCGGCTGGCGATGGGCATCCCAAGCGTTTTCCTCTTCCTTGGGGACTTTCCAGGTGGTGATCGAGTCTGAAGATTTGTCCAAAAGAACACCGTGCACAACACAGGGTTTGCTCCACAGATCTGTCACCCGGATTCCGCAGTGTGCTCCTGGCATCGCTACTAGGAGCAAGGACGCTACTGGTAACTCCTGAGATCGCTACTAGTAGCATGTTTCACCCCGCCTGGGATAGAGGCCCTGGAAGCGTCTGAAGATGGCGTCAAGGCCAACGGCCGGAGGGCAAAGCGCCTGGGTAACGCCACTGGGACTTGGGCGACGTCTTTTTGAAGATGCGATTGGGTCTGGAGGGTGTTCTGGGACTCTGTGGATAAGTAGTTTTAGATTGACTCACCTTTGTGATGTGAAGGTTTGGCCTGCAGATTGCAGCATGCTGCAGTTGGCATCCCTCAGCTTTAAAACCAAACTAGTCAAAAACTGCTACCTAAGGATGGGGCCATATGCACATTCACTAAAACTACACAAGTAACCACGACTAACCTCTGCTAGACGCAGCTAGCTGCTGACGGGCTGAGGTTCAGTCTTTGCACAAACCGTCCGCAAGCAAAGGCAGCAAATATGCCAACCTCAAAGCTTGGTAGATGACAGGCGAATATATTAGAACCTGCCTCCCAGCTACTAATAGCTTCTGGCATTACTACTAGGGTGGAGGCCATCGCTATTAGGTTGGAAGCCATTACTACTAGTAGCACGAAGCTACTAGTAGCTCCTAACAGTGGATGTGGCGCTCACAAAGGGCTCAGTGAGTCCTTTCATAGCCCTTCACCAGAGAGGTGGCCCCACAGGGACCCACGTGCAAGTAACGGACTTCTTCTCGGAAGCTTCTCCATGACATGCCCAGTATGGCGCAGTAGGGCACAGTTGGGGGCACCTCCCCTGAACACTGGGGGGATGCCGTGAACCAAAGGCGGGTCCAGGTGCTCAGCTTTGAATTGAAGGGCCTGTAGCATCAAGACAAGCTATGAGGAACAACCTGTTTCTTGAAATTCTGGAACCATGTTCCACCTGCTTCCCACCAAGAAGTCCACCTGGCCCGACGAGTCCGAGGCCCCCCGGCGTCTTCCCCGAGCCCGTCGGGGCAATCGCCACCAAATCACGGTCTGAGCGGGAGGTGATGACCGGAGCCCCGCTTGACTTCGCTTTAAACATGCTTACCAACGCCTGGAAGGTTTGAAGCAAAACTCCTGGAACCGATGCTTTTTTGTTCATCTTCGGCCATGGAAAAAGAAGACATGTTCTCCCTCACCTGTGATTCTGCAGGTTCAGAACAGTTCCAGGTGCAACTCGATGTTCAGGAAAATGACTCCTACATACTCCTACCTTCTTGAGCTCCAACCGGCCACAGTGTCCTTTGAAGAGGATCTCTCCATTCTCTGGCTTCTGCTCTTTCGACCGTCTGGAAATCAAGGTGTGTCGTAAAACGGTGTAAAGCCAAAAGATCGGTGCTTGGGAACAGCTCTATAGATCTTCTTGAAATCAGTCCAAGGCATGCTCAGGGTGCGAAGGCTAGACTCACCCTGGCTGTCCATGGCTGTCCTTTTTCTTGTCACCATCCTTCCGCGAGCCAAGTTGACAAGCTCTAAAGTTGGGATCTTCCATGACCAACCCGTAGGTGACACCCCTGGTGGTGCTCTGAGCTTCAACCGTCAAGCGTTGGAAAAACCGACTGCTTGCCCTCATTCATCCTCTTCGTAAAAACTGCGTGGCAAGGAAACGAATCCCTGAAAGTCCGGAACATGAATGGGCAAAGAGACCCTCCCCAAAGTTGCTTGGCTGAACCCAAATCCATCCAAATCCCACCCCGGTGTTGCACTTTTGCTGCACCAACTTCGTATCATCGCATTTCTTTTGTGTTTCATTGCGTGGACCTCCGACACCTTTTCGACCCCATCTCCGCGGCTCGCAGCGGCCTTCCCGCACCTCGCAGCGGCTGCAGGCACTGTCGAAGGGCAAGGGCGGATCCTCCAAGTCCTGCGGAGGAAGTCGTGGCGAGGAGAAGACGAGCACATCGAAAAACATGAAGGATTCGTCTAATTGAAGGATTCGCCTGATTGAAGGGCAAGGGCTCATCGAATCATATCGGGGATCAAAACGATTGGTTGTCACCGGTTCACAGATCAAACGATGAATGATAGCCCCACTGATGTACTATGAAGCCAGCTAGCCTTAGCTAGAACGACAAGGAATGGGACAGTAGAAGGGTGTTTTCCTATGAGAACTTAAGGCCAAACCCACGAAACCAGCCAGGTGTGGACAATGACTTGAAGCTTTTTTGCACTCAAACGGGTGCGATCGCGAAGGGGCATATGAGTCATATGCGCTTTTTGATGCTTGACCATATCTGGGGCACTCAGCGGCCCAACCCTTTTTGAATTCAGACATGTTAAAGAATGGTTCCACGTGATGGTGAACATGAACTGCATGATCTAGTCTTTTCAGATGCCTGCTTTGGTTTTGTTGGTCACCACGTGTTTCTACCAGTTCTGATGCTTGAAACTCTGATCTTTCGCGACGTGGTCCATTTCACCTCCTCCGGCAGCGGCTGCCTCTCCGCTGCAGCTAGCTGCGCCGCCGCGGCCGGCGCCGCCGCCAGGAGTGCGGTGGCGCTCTCCGGTGGTGGGAGGCATTCAGCACCTGCGGCATCATCGTGAAGTCTGCAGGGCACCTAGAAGCAATGGCCTCCAACCTACTGAGGTTGCAGGTTGGTTGGGTGGAAAGATAAAATGGAATGATGTCCCTGTGGTACTTTGCCTGGCCGCCAGGCCAGTTGTGATGGGATTGGCTGACGGTGTCTACAGCAAAAAGCTGCACAATTTGGGGCTTCTTCACTTGGGCGATTCTATTTTGGAAGGTCAGGCCTGGGTGCTACCAAAAGAGAACCTGCGCCTAAGGATCAACAACTAAACCACCTATTAGACCTATGGACCTGTGGTTGATGCTTGGGCCCCAACGAAATGGCAACCATGTGACTTCAATGCGATTGGCCCATCACATGGCTGTAGCATTGGCTGACAGGCAAGGGCAACTGAAGGCAAACCACATGAGCAACCAAAAAAGGCAACCCAAAAACCGCTTAGGAACGGAGGGCGCTGGGCTTGCTTAGGTTCTACTAGATTCTACCACCTTCCCGGCCCGTGCCCTACTCCAGATGATCTGCATAGGTCCCCCCCAGGCGGCCCCCTCGCCGACCTCCAAATCGTAGTCGTAAGAGTTGGCCCCAGCACTCAGCCTGCGAAGCTTAGCTCGAAGTGATGCGGAGTGCTTTTTCCGTTCCGGAAGGAAGCCGGAAGGCGATGCTGGTTGGTCTTTTTGGCCGACCCGCTTTCGAAGCCTTGGATCCTCTGCGGAGCATTGAAAAGCGAATCACTAAAGCAAAAAACCAAACCTATAGCCTAAGGCCACCCCTTCCTCAGCTCAAACCCTAGGCCCGTTCACCTGTCCGGTCCCCTTGCGCCTGAACCGCCGTAGTGGCGCCTCGGCCGCCGGCGCAGCCGCGCGCGCGGCACGCCAGCGCGGCGTCGACGCCGCAGCGGTGCAGCGCGTCGAAGCCCAGCACCGGAGGGGTCCTCGGCCACCGGCGATGGGGCTCGGCGCTGCGCGGCGTCAGGGACTGGGCATGGCATGGCATCTAGGGGGAAGGTTTTTCATGTGGAAGAGGTCCCTTGTGGCAGGATTTGATCCTGTTTACGCAGAGAGGATGTTGTGTTGCCTGAGGCGGCAGAAGGGGAGTATGGGGATCTACCAAAGATCTCCTCGCATGATTGATTGTATTGCCCAAGCAAAGTACCCTGCATTTATATGTTATTTGCAACAGGCCTACGTACAAGCAAGCACTTGAACTGAAAGGACGATCACCATATATCACCAGAGCATCCAAAGCCACTGACATCAGAGGCAATGTTGTCCACTACAACTCCTAGGTTGCTGGGCTTCAAGGGGCTCGAGGACTGATAATAAGGTCTGATGGTTCCAGCTACCCCCCACTTCCAATACCAAGAAACTCTTTCGCAGAAGGATCGCCTCACAGCCGAAGTAAGAAATAACGCGACGGGAGTCGCGACGGGATCGCCAATAAGACTGAGTTTTTTGAATGGTCGTCGAGGTCATGGTGAGGTCTTCGTGCTTTCCTTGGCGCATTTCTTGGTGCCTTTCAACGCTCCACCTACAACAAAGTGAGCGCTTCTAAAGCTCAAGGCTCCTTCAGCACAAGGACATTGCATGAAAAGGACCCGAACACCAGCGAGCTAAACGTGGTGCCCTAAAACTTCCTGGAGCTCATCAAAAACCATGCACAGTGTTAATTAAACACAAACACGTCACCATCCTCCACCCCAGGTGGCCCCTCAGCGTGGGCCTCCTCTGAGAGATTCCACCGTGATGCCTCTCTCCTCCCGAAAGAGTCGAAGCTCAGCACCACTCAACCTGTGCCACATACCGCCGCATTGTGGCGGTTACCGGTGACCGCAAGTGGCTTTCGCCCACGTTGCTGTGGGTGGCCCCGAGGGAGTGCCGGTCTAAATGGTCCTGGGGTCCGCTGATGTCCCCTTAAAGTAGGCTTTGAGGTTGGCCATCACGTTTGTAGGTTGGAGGCCATCGCTACTAGGGTGGAGGCCATTTGCTATTAGAAACAAAGAAAAGAGAAGGAAGAAGGGTCTAATATAGTTGCTTTAGAAGGGTCTAACCAGGTTTCAATTCTGTCCGATACGGGATTTGGTCCTGGGGTCCGCTGATTTCCGCTGCTCTGTCTGGGCGGGGTTCTGCTTACCAGGCCCACAAACCTTGCCCGGTCGGTTTTGAAAGTTGCGACCTGTGATTCACCATCCAAGGGCCAAGTAATTAGTGAATTGCAATTTAGGCTTACAAAGGGCTTTGCAAGCATCCAAAGGATAGGGCCTAAATTGCCACCATCCAAAGGCCCTCGGGAATTTGGGCCTTGCAATTTGGTCGAGCAATCAGATCTGAAACGTTGATGACCCCCCACGAGGCAATAGGTCCACCTCTGACACCGATCTACGATTTGAGCGTAATTATGTCAACCTTTGCATTCCATTGTATGTCATACATGATCCAATTCACCACCACCACCACCACCACCACCAACAACAACAACAACAACAACCACAACCACAACCACACCACAACCACCACGACAACGACAACAACGTTCAGGACCTCACAGGGTGAGCCAGTGACATTCTGATCATGGCTAGTTCCAAGGAGATATGAAACGAAGCCCCACAAGGTCCTCTAGACTCCTTCACTTGGGAGATTCATTCTTGCAATCCAGCACCTGCAGTAGCCTAACTGAAAAAAATACAAAAACAACCTCACAACCACCACGAAGCAAGCAGTGATAGCATAGCAAGCAGTTGTAGGTCACCCTCCCCTGGTTCCTGAAGAAGCTGCCTCCGGTCCAGAGCGGTGGACTCAGCGTCAAAGACCTCTTCGTCCTCGTCCGCCTCTGAAGCCTCGAACCACGGCTGGGGACTGTGAGACCCAATTCTTTGCTAATTTGAATTCTAATTAAACCTATTTCTACTAGCTTCTTGTTACTACTAGAAAGGCCCTTGCTCCTAGTAGCTTATTGTTTCTATTCTAATAAGCCTTATTTCTATTTTAATTCTTGTTTCTAATGGCTTCTTGTTCCCAGTAGTAAGGCCCTTGCTCCTAGCAGCGATGCCAGGAGCCCCTAGCAGCGTCCTTGCTCTTCATGTTTTTCTTCAATGTGAACGTCGGCAATCCAAAAACATCCCGATTCGGGGTGTGACAGTGTGACCAAAAAGAAACCAATGGTGAAAAGGCCGTACCAAAAAGAAACCAATGGTGAAAAGGCCGTAGGTAAGATCACGAAAAGCGCATCAAAAAGCACTGGCCCCAAAAGCTGATGGATCAATGAACGGGGGGTCTAGAAATCTCACATCCAGACTCTCATGGCTGAGGACCGCCTCTTCCACATCAGCGTCTGAAGTCGCCTCCGCCGCATGACCTTAGAAAGAACACCACCAAGCTCACAGGCTCCGAAGGAAAAGCCGCCAAGTCACTGTGGTCTCTGCAGTCTCCGCTCTGGTCGTCTGGTTCATCCCCCTGCAGCACCGGACATTCGAGGAGTTGTGAGACTGAGACATTTTGAGACCCTTCTCTGGTCAGTCTGACTTGCTGAAACACGATTCATGCAGTAGATGGTGCTTGCAAAGGCTGTGTATATTATATTGGATGTGGAGCCCCGCCAGTGGCATGAAGATTGCCATGAGGCTGCTGTGCGGACACTTTATATGAGGAGCTCCGTGGTTGAGCAATACGTTGGTGTGCCCCAAAACTCCTTCAACCGCCAAATGACCCGTACCGTGAAGGAGTATCAAATCAATCACAGCGAGTGCTTCTAGGTGTCTGGCCGTTTTGGCCAAAGCCAATTCAACAATTGCCAGTGGGACAAACGATGACACCCGCTGCTGCAAGTTCAGCGAAGTTTCGCCCTCCGCGTCGCGTTGCTCTCCTCCGAGTCCGACGCCCGTAGCGCCGCGAAGCGCGAGGACATGGGCACCGTGTTGTTGCGTAGGGCGTGGATGGCTGGGGGCGAGACAAGGCTTGGTTGAGGTTAGAGAGGTTTCAAGTATCAGTGGATGCTCTTCAAGACGTCTCAGGTATGGGCAAGTGTTGGAGAGACCTTGACCTAGGCAAGCTGATTCCCTGTTGCCCATCCACTCTCTACAAAAGTCATCTTCTCCATTTCCAGGTTCCAACCTGCCGCTTTTAAGCGGTGTTAGAGGGGTGGAGAACTGGTTTATCGAGGACCTTGCTTTGAAGAGTTATATATTGATTAATATATAATTCGATGGTTCAAAGTACTTCAAAGTTCAAATTCCTGTCGGCGACCTTTGCGACTTAACAATCTCAACATGCCGCCCCCAAAAAGGTTTTTCTGCTTCAACCTGCTCTGTGAAGGTCGACCTTCCCACATAATTGGAATGGGCACGACTGAAATGTTTCCGGTTTTCCAAATATTTGGCAAGCTTCCTTGTTCCAAAAGCTGGATTCATGGTGACACACGAGGTGTTTTTGAGAAACGTGGGTCATTTCAAGAGACTGCGTTCGAGAGCGGCGCCAGGTGAGCCAAATGGCTGGGACACGCAGCAGTCACATCGACCGAGTTGTGATGCGCTCTCAGCATCAGTGACCAAGTTCGTCGCGACTTCAGCTGTTTTCACGGACTTAGGGGCGCCAACTGCCACTTGTGGGGGTGGATTTTAGCAGCGGTAGGACACGGTAGAACTATCTCAAGAAGAGAAACACGTGAACAAACGAATGTGAAAACGTATGCAGATTTTCCCTTCAAGCTCTATGAGCTCTTAGTAGTTGTGGTGAGTTTCTCCAAGCATGCGGGAGGCCAGATCCGACCCGTGAAGATGGCCTTTCACGCTGTGTTGATCGACGGATCGCCAGTAACATGATATCATCTCCGTGCAACTTTGGTACACACATCTACCTAATAGTAGCTTATTGTTTCTAATTGAATTCTTGTTTCTAATAGCTTCTTGTTACTACTAGTAAGGCACTTGTTACTAGTAGCGATGCACCTGTTCCTAGTAGCGAACATTGTTACAAGAAACTACTCTCATCTGCAAACGCTATAGGTACACACCGGCCGGAATGAGGCCGCTTTCTGGTCGTGATTTTCCGGACGTTGAGATCATCCGTCACAATTTCTGGTGGTGTCTGACATTCTGAGAAGCGCAAGTTGAAATGCCACACGGGGAACGTAGTGACTTGGCTATCGCACAGTTGCATTTTCCGGACCAACCCCAGCTATGACACACCCCTTGTGGATGTGCTAAAGGCATCGCGCATCCTGTTTGCATGCCGTGCGTGCCCTGTGAGCCGGCCGAAGCTCTTTGAAACCGTCCTGGACCAACTCACCTCTTTGCCCAATACCTGGCCCAAATTCTTAGCACTTCACGATATACCTCGTCTTCTTCAACCGCTCCGACTGACTTGGAAAGCTTGGCGATGCTCAGTTGTCAGGAATCTTTCTTCGATTCGGGCTTCACCTCAGCCTCTGCTTTTGCCCTTTTTGCCTGTGCAGCATGTTGGTGCTCAGCCATGCTGCGAAGAAGACACACTACAGTACAGGTTGAAAGGGGACTTCTACTAGATCCTCATGATTAATTACTGTTCTGCATGTGGCTAGTCAAACCCCAAACCTCCAACGTTCAGTGGTATAGTGTCATCATGCGTTGCCACCTTTTGGGGGGTTGTTCGGGAGGGAGCAGCATGACACACCTCATATGGGGTGTCGTCTTTCGACACTCCAAGCTCCAAGCTATGACATTTCTTGCAGGTATGAGGAAAACCCTGTCCAAGTCCACTGAGGGAGATGCAGCACGATCTGCACAGGAAGGTTCCACCCATCGAGAAGAACTGGTCTCTGGATTCATTCACGTATACTTTTGCCTGCCCGTGGAAACAAAGATCTCAATCGGCAACCATCTTCGATCACGCCGTGTACCCGTGGGATCGATCTGGTCGTGGTGACACTAAGGTGATCATTTGGCAATCTCTACCCCTTTGCCTATCCGTGCCTTCCGAGTGCCCTGTTCCGTTGGAGTCCAAGTGGCAAGCTGAAGGCCTTTGCGATAGCACATTTGTTTACTAGGATGTTTACAAGTAGTATGGCCGTATGGCCAGTAGTGGTGACTGGGAGCATTGACCAAATCCTATCGGCTCGAGGAAGCTCCGATTCATAGCTTGGGCACCCAAGAAAAAACGAAACGAACGTAGTCCATATAGGTGACCCACATAGTCCGTTCCCACTGATAAACACGGTGTAAATCCATTGAACCACGGACCTCTGGCGTGCACCGATGCCGGCGAACGGAGCACCTGGGCCTCAGCTTCCTCCCTGGGCAGCTGAACAGGTCGAGGGGAGCTGAAGAGGTCAACTGGCGAAGGCTTAGCCGTCCAAGAGGTTTACCAATAGTCAATCTAATAGCCATGGTCTCCAACCTGATGGCGATGGCCTCCAACCTACTAGCAGCTAGCGATGGCCTGCATCCTAATAGTTTGACGCTTTAAACATGGCTTTGATCGATTGGCACGGTTGTCATGATGAGACGCCTCTTCCTTTAAAGGCCGGACAAGCGGGAAAAAGGTATGACAGCACTCCCAGCAAGAAGAACATTAGAGAGCCAATCTAATCTTCCCTAACATTTGCTGCGCAATGCTCCCGAGTAGATTTTAACATGGAGAAGAAAGGAACTAGTAACAAGAAGCTATTTACAGACCTAAATACCCCAAATTCCCCCCCAAAAAAACCATCCCCCCCTTGATCAACCTCTCACTTTGCCGGAGTGTCCCATCCATAGTACCGACCCAGGGCGCAGTCGACACCAGCGCGGCGCCGTCTTCGGCTTCCGGACTGAAATCTCCTGAGGCGCTCCTGTGCAGCATTTGTCACGCTGGACCCATGTGTTGGTTCTTTCTGGCTGTGTCAGTTAAGACTCCAGAAGAGCCACCATAATGATGTGAATCAGAGATCAGTGGAATATTCATTTTGATTTGAGACATCATATACCGTAGGTTCAGGCAGAAAAAAACCCCACCATTTTTCTTGAGAAATCCTTCATGGCTATGACATCATGTTTATTTTCGTTGGAAGCTACTAGGAACAAGTGCATCGCTACTAGTAACAGGTGCCTTACTAGTAGTAACAAGAAGCTATTAGGAACAAGTGCCACGC